AGTAGATTTCCTCCCCAGGACGCCGAGTTGGGCGTCGGTACCGAGGGGGAGGCGGTGAATATGGTGTCGAGCGACCAACATAGTAAACTAAACTTAGAACTCGCGATACTGGTGCAGACGACTATGGTCGAACAACCATGACAAATAAATGGCGGGACTTTGGTTTTGCACATTTAGCACAGAAATAAAAGACACGCCCACAGTTGGGCAACCAATCATTTTATTATTGGGTCCTTTGTAAACACCACATACACGATGTGCCGCCATCCAATGGCGGGATGTGCGGTTTTCTCGGTGCACAATCAGCGTCAACTTCATTAGAGAAACACGACGCATTTGCTAAGCCAGACCGTCTGGTGGCGCCCTACTATTTCATCAATAACCAAATATACTATTATCCTGTTCCCGAATTCAAGGACATTTGTTTATTTGGAGTAATTTCCAATTCTACACTAGGTCCTTAGTAATTATTGATTCCACGTATTTATTTGGCCGTTATTTGACAGACGTAAAATGCCATAATGTTAATTCGCGGAAATTTAAACACACTGATACTGATAATGAATTAAACATTTGTCAAAAAATACTAAATTTGAAAAATATTTGGCAATATAATAAGTTTTGCGTCGCATGCACACAATTGAAATATAATATAAAATGGGCCTTATATACTATTGTTGTATTTATTTAATTGTAAGAACGATTTTACATCCTGGAATGTCCACGATGTATCACGGATCGATTCGCCAGGACGGTAATTCGTCACAAATGTCAAACACTTATACACCAAGTATTGGGGTTAGGCTGAAGATTGGACGGACACTTCTGAATCAACACAATAATGAAATAACGGTTTAGGTTGAACGAAATAGTGTTTTGTTTGAGCAGACCAATTCTAGAAAATCTATTTGTGTAGCAGGTAAGCTACCGTATATGGACAATGTGAAGTCTATTTTAGTGGGGAAATGTATTTTAATAATCGGGTGAAAGAATAATCGGTGAAAGAATGTTTTGTTTCTAAACAATATTTTAAATGCGAAAACAATAAAAAAAACGACTCAACTGGTAATCGAATATCTAATACTTCGCCGCGAAAACCTGAAAAAGATATTTTATTTTGCCCACGCATTATTCATGAAGTTATTTGTTCAAAAAATTTTTCCCAGAATTTGGAATGACGAGAATCAGACTAGAGCCTTGATTTACCTTACCCTTCATAGCATTGACCAATCATTTGTTTCAAATTTCAAACTCATCATATATTATGTATATCTTTTAGTGTAAACTTACAAGCATATCTAAGCGACCCCCATTCATTTCGAAACGCCAGTCCTTTGGGTGTATATGACATAGCGTTACCAGGCAACCACTCGTCTAAATAGCGCATCACTCTGTTCTTATAGTACTTGTCCCCTGTCAAGTTGTACAAAAGTGTCTGAAATGAAAGAGATACGTATTCTATAATTACAATGGCTACCCGGAATAAAACTGAAAGGAGTGAGTCGAACCTGAGTAGAGTGTAGGGTTGACCCGGTCACGTGTCGTTGTAGCCTTCAATCATATCCGAAATGTTTCATAGTAACACGCTCATTGTGCAACTCCTGTCACTATACAGCGACGTCGCTGAATCTAAGCACGTCTTATCATATACTCTCGACAGCAGAAAATAATTTATAAGCTGCACATAGTATTGACGTATGGAATAATAAGTTGTGTGATTTTGTAATAAAGAATTAAACATGTATTTGTATTTGTACTTATTCTTTATACACCCCCCCCCCCCACCATAAGCGAGAGAGACCAAGCTCGAGCCATTCCATTAGAGCGCATTCGATTCATTACAGAGCGTTCCATTATAAAGAGCGGACTTAGCAATCAGGTGACAATGTCATGTGATCAATTCAGCGTAGGCGTTGATCCCGGCGTTGATCACCTGACAATCGCCGGATACACGATACAACGGCAAATGACGTAAGGTTTTGTGACTTTACTAACCGTTACGAAAGGATTAGTTCGTTCGGATGTATTTTTTGTAAAAGTGACAGCCTTGATCGACAGACAGTGTTCCTTCACACAGTCTTCCCTTGCACCATACGCACTCAGACTGTTAGCGAGTGAAGTAAAATGTTGGAAACTGTTTCAATACATTGTATTACATATATTTTATAGTTCCCATGCCAAATAAAGCATATTATGTGATGTTCGTAGATGGTTTCTGTCGTACCGGCCTGTAATGAAATGAGGAGCGACTTGTCTCTAATGAAATGAAAAGATCGCTTGGTATTTTAAATAATTGAAATGTTTAAAACGTTTTCAATACATTGTATTACATATATTTTATAGTTCCCCGGTCAAATAAAGCAAATATAGTGTAGGTAGTTTCTGCCATACCGGCCTAAGGGAACGAAGAGCGACTTGTCTTTAAGGGAATGGAATGAAATCAAGGCACTGTAACTTTATATATTTTATTGCTTCCATGTCAAATACATGTAATACAGAGACCTTAGTAGTCGGCTCATGACATGGGCACCTTTTTACTCTACCCACGAACAGTCTGAGCGCGTATGGTGTAAGAGAAGGTTATGTTAATGAATAGTGTGTCGATCAAGGCTGTCGCTTTTACAAAAAACGGCACCTGAACGAGCAAATCCTTTCGTAACGGTTAGAAAAGTCACTAAACTTGACGGCATTTGCCCTTACATTGGCTAACCAGCGATGGTCAGGTGATCGCACGTCTACGCTGAATCGATCACATGACACGACGTCTTTACTTTCTCTAATGGAACGAACGCTCTCTAGTGCAATGGCTCGAGCTAGGTATATTCGTCATAAGCAGAGCAGTATCAGTACCCGCTAATTTATCCAAATTATAATCATTGATTACACATTGTATATATATATATTAGCCACAGACCTTGCTATCACCTATATTTTGTGTCAAATGTTTGCGTCGTCGACAGAGGGCGCTAATTATATGAAAGGTGTACTGTGTAGAACGAACGACACAAATCGACGAGAGAGGACATATAGCAACAACTAAAAATCGAACATACATGTACACCTGCGTCAACCTGTGACCATGCAAACGCCCATGAACGTCCTCCAGTCATGTTCGGTATCTCATTCTCAGTTTTATTGAGATAGACTTCCTCGCCAGTTGCCTTATACAACCAAATAGCCGCCCATGCTATCTCGTCCTCGTATTTGCTCCCTCTGTAATAGACAGGTGGCAAATTATTTATGTAAAAATATATTGTCTGTGTAAACTTGTGACTTTCTGCTAATTGGCAAACTTTTAAAATTTAATAAAGTTACGGGTCTAACCAAAAGACAGTTCGAATCATTGAGAACTATTACACGTTTCTCAAAATATTACACAAAATATAACTAGTGTGCGAGGTTTCGTTCGTTAGTGTGATATTGTCGACTTAGTGTGACTTACGAAATATAGATGGCTTCATTAATGTCAGGGAAAGAGTCTGCGTACAATCCACGGTAATTGTCAGCAAAGTCAAATAATTCTTTGGATTCATTCAGCAGTTGATTGGCATAATCTGGATCTGAATTAAAGTAAACTAAATATTTAGTCGGACAATTACAATGCTCCAATCAACATTACAGGCCATAGATTCAGTTTTATCATATGCAGCAAGATGAAAACCAAAAGTAATTCTTTAATTGGACATACGAGGGCTCTGAGAGTAGTGGTTCGGCGTAATCGTGAAATCGTCGTCGTCTTTACTGTTGTTGCTTTTGCGCTTAATAATTTTGAATTGAAATCATATACAACTTCTTGAAAAACTGGTAGTTTGACACACAGTTATAACATGGGTACATGGGTAAAAACAAAATAGCAGCCTAACAATGAACTGGCTTATTAAAATGTTAAGGTCAATTCTCGCCGGGAGAGTACGCACGCATGACGATACGCCTTTAAGGGCCATTATGGTCGTCGTGTCGCGTTCTGTTCGATATGGGACTCATAGAGACGTACACAACGCGTGTAAAACATATTGTTTGTTTACATGAAATTCGAACATGCTCCGCTCCGTATTTATTAGAACTAAAGTAGACAATAAAACAATCTAATTTACTCGATAAATCGTTCAGTAAAATATTACCTGAATCTGCGAAAATAATCGACGCAGCAGCCAATGCGGCCGATACTTCCCCAGCGACGTCACTTCCAGGGGTTTCCGTGGTCACTTTGAATGAAGTCCTGTTCATTGTCATTTCCTCTGGACGACCCCAATATTCATGATCAACCGATTTCTTTGCGATCTAATTGTTGAACAAGTAACAAATTATTACTTTTATTGGAATTCTGTTGTATAATTTGAAATAAATGGATGCGTGATTTCGAGTTTTTGTTTTTTACGTGCTGATGTGTGGCGTTAGTGGTATCGACTCTACAAATATGTAAAAGGTGTGATTTATTTGTAAACTGTTTTTAAAAGAAATTCGTTACAAAACCAGTCTAATGAGAAATAAACTTTGTCGACAGAAATAGATGATGTACAAACAATAATAGCGATCAAATTCACGTTAACTTGTTTTATTGAGGCTTACGTATTTACAATGCTCACTAACTTCATTTGGCTAGTAAACGATGGTTGCATATTGACGGTTGGTTTATCGCAGCCACTCTGAAATTTGAACACATTCGATGTGACTACTAGTACACATGAATATTGTATTCATATTAAATAGAAAATAGAAAATATGAAGGGACGGTATGCTTGCATCGCACCTGTACATATAATTCATTCGGCGCTGTGTGTGCTTTCAGTAGAAAGTCTGTCCCCCATCTGATACAATCCAACATATTCTGTGTTTCACCGGCTTCTTCGTATGCATCCTTAAATTCCAGATAACCCCAGCTGAGAACTGCGACACTGAACGCCATCGGGAACGTTGACTTGATGTGATCACCGGCTGTGGATATGAATGATTGACGCATATAATGGAAAATAGTAATATTATGTGTATTAGAATACGTCGATAGAAAGATTTACATCACTACCCACCATCATACCAGCCACCCGTTAAATCTTCACCGTTAAGTCCCATGTCATCTAATGCGGAATCTCCTCGATAGGGTATTCTGTTGGTTGGTGGTAATGTGCCTGATCGTTGTGCTTCGTAGAAGAGTATAGACTTGTGAATAACCTCTGAATAGTTATAAGGAGTTTCAACTGAAACTAAATGTATAATTTAGTTGATGAGATAGAGTTCAGCTAATGCTGATGCTAATTTAGATGTGTTTTGACGAGGAACTGACGGCCATTTTGTAGTTTATGATCATGAACAGTTTCTATGTTTTTAAAGTGGTATTTTCTTTTAATGTATTTATACTTATTACCCCATGCCACTCTCGTCAATGGCGGTTGCATTCATTTTCCTGATACCGCTATAGAATTCAGGCACAATTTACCAGTGAATGTAAATGTAAATCATGTTAATATTCATTACATTCATTCATTGTTATTCTTTAGACCCATTAGGTTTATGTTAATTCAGGCGTTGCGTCAAAATCGCTAAAATTACATGGCACATTATCGAAGTATTTTACAGTAGTAGAAATGTTCAATTATTTTATTATTTTTATCTTACCACTTTCTCCTGTTGTTGACACGACGACGGCAACGGTAATTATTCCGACGAGAGTTGTAGTTGTAGCAATACCACCACCAATGATGGCGAATTTACTGTTGGCTCCGGCGAACTGTGAAAAGCAATTTGTAATTTCCTCTGTTCCATGCTGAACGTTGACATTCTATCAGAATGAATGTACAGACATTACGTTATTGTTGGCAGGGCACACTTGTCGTTTTGTGATATGGTCAACATTTTTAATCTGCGTTTGAGGCGTACGTGATATTAAGGGTACGTTACACAATAAAAACTGTGCTGGGTGGCGGCCCGGTATATCTGGTGGGTCGCCACACACACCATACACAACGTTCTACCAAAGCACCACAATTCGATAATCAGCAAAAATAAATACCTAACAAATATACGTATAAATAATGAGTGGAATTATTATAGATCGCACTTAGAATTAGAATTAACACATTACTTAGCTAACATTGACAACCAACTGTTTTCTATTTTCGTAGTGTTATGTGTTGTACTTGACTGTAATTCGATGGTATTTTTGTTGATCGATACTCCCCATGAGGCCAAAAACTGGATCTTATTGCTACAATATCGAACACCTGATCATTTGAACAATAATCCGTTGATATATACTACTAGTATCTGTTTTAGGACGCTGTGAAATCAAAGACACTGGCGTCTTTGATGAAAAATACATGGTAATGCCGATAAACTCGGTAAGTGTATGTCTTAGACTTTATTACCAGTAACAATAACGTATACAAAAAAGCAGTATTTTGATTATGCGTTAATTAACACCGGGACTAGTAACCATACTTGAGATAAAGTGCCACGATTGACTGAGATCTGAGAGGCGGTAGCGGGTCTAAACATTTGATTAAAGTGTAATGCAGCAATTCAATTCTACCGCGCCAGTGATTGGCAAGCCGTTATTACGGGGAGAGGGACTTTTCCTTTCAACTAACGCATACATGGCAGTGTAAGACGGTACCATTGTGATAACTGGGTGGGCTACTGCGTTCAATGCTGTCAGCATTTTGAGTTTGCCTTAGGCTACACTGCCAACCATATTGCGTGGGGATGTAGTTATAAGTAAATAAAGGTGACAGTTATAAGTCATATTATATTTAACGCGTGGAAATACTAAAACTACTTCTGCAAATAAAAAGAACACATGGCACATGGATTTTAACTTGCGCGGTTTAAAACCCCGGCATTATTCAAGAATCGCCAGAGATTGCATATTCGTGGGCCCCAAATATTATAGTCGGACCCCGTTTTGGTAAACAAGGGTGTCCCGTTTCTGATAAAGACACACATATATATTATCAATTCCCCTTAATTTTCTAATCGGGAGTTCGCAACACTAAATTGTATAAGCACCCTCCCCCCCCAACAAAAACACACTTAGGACCTGATAAGCCATCCCATCAAATTATATCGATTGATGTGCCCTTGAAAGTATAACAATACTGTGAGAGTTTTGCAATAATTGACGGGATGGTATTCAACTTCATAAAGATGGTGAATACATTCACTTATTTTAATGATTTCCCACGGTACAATTATATAATAGCGTTTGACTTCAAGTATAAACTCTCATCATACCATCCAATCCCATATACCCGCTGACTGTCTGATAAGGACGCCCCCACTACATCAGTTCTTTTAGCGTGCGTGATAGTAAAGAATATACGTTATTATCGCAGGCCGATAAATAACTGGCCGCAAATTACACGAGAGACGTGTTCAAACATATTTGTGACGTATCTAAAACATTTAATGGGGAATCATTAGAGATGTTTACCAACTTCTTTCAGTTCTCAGTCTGCCACCGTTTGGCATATACTGTTATTGACAGCCAGCGAAGCACCATTGATCGTGACTTTCAAAGTTTGAATATAGCTGTTTTATTGTTTCGTGTTCATTGTATTGTTTTACTCTGATTCTTTTCTATTTTCTGTTTCATTTTAAACGAAATGGCGGCGCCCATGAATCGTAATACTTGTGATGATAAAATTGCGAAAGTTTTCGGTGTTGGTGCCTTCAAGCCTCATTAGGTACAGGCAATCGACGCAGTTTTGTGTGGGAAGGATGTCTTAATAGCGACAAAAACAGGAAGTGGAATTTTGTTTTATTATTTGGTATCAAGCTGATTGGGCGCCTTGTTTCGAGGCGCGCCTAATCAGATCTGACTGCTTAAGATACGCAATTAGCATATGCGATCCCGCACGGTATCGTGTAGAGGTCTATCCTCAGAGGCGGACATCCGGGCATTTTCACCGCCTGGCAACCCGTGGCGGTGAAAACAAAGGCCAAAAACTCGCTGAAAACGGTACTTTGGGATGGTTGTTGAGACTCCTCTGAACAGTGTAACAAGATTAGCCCTACGTGTGTAACATATATAAATTTGGTTGTTCGGGATTACTTAAAA